TGTCTTTCTCAAACTTGATTGCTGCGTTCTTAAGGTAAATTCCTAGGAGTGGAATTCCTGGGTCAAATGGTAGGTCTGTTTTGAGCATTTTGATGAACCTCCATACTGCTTTCCAATTTCTAAGCACTTTTTAACACCAATCATTTATATGTTGAATTATCATACATATTTGTAGATAATTAGGAAATTATAGATATATCATTAGAAGTAGACTCAGTGTGAATGCTTCCTAATTAGTAGGAAAAATATTTTAGAACTAACATGGAAGTAAAAAATAATACATTGTGACCTTTATGTTTTTAGGTACTGCGTATCACTTTTACTTTTTTCCAATTAGAATCAGTGAATAATTGTCCACATGAGTTTCTTCAGATTCATGATGGAGATTCCTCTGCAGCATTTCAACTTGGAAGATTCTGTGGCTCTAGACTCCCTCATGAACTCCTTAGTAGTGATAATGCTCTCTATTTTCACTTCTATTCTGAATATCTAAGAAATGAAAGAGGCTTTACAATAAGATGGGAAACACAGCAACCAGGTAAGTATAAACATGGAGGAAAATAAAGCAGAATCTTTGAAGTTATGTAGTTTTCTTGATCAGTATTAGACCTTTGGATACATTAGATATTTTGAGATCCAGTGCTATATAATATTTTATGATTATTTTAAAAATTGTTTTTAAAAATTGCTTAAAAATTTTATTTTTATTATTCAGAAATAATAAAATATGGGTGAAATGGAAGGATTAAAAAACATGAGTCTTAATGGGTCCCTTACTGAACAGCGTGTTTATAAGCCCTATTAGTAAATTACTATAGGGATTTTGTTGAGGTCGTTGTCCACTCATTCACTTAGTGTTCCTTATCTTAATGACCCACTACTTCATTATTTATTTATTCTTTTACTTTTGGTGCCCCATTTTTTCCTAACTTTTTACAATGAAAATTTTAAACTTCGAAAAAAGTAGAGAGTACAATATACCAAACCTCCAGTTCATTCATCAGTAAATCTGGATCTATTTCTGGAGTTTCTCCTTTTTTCTGTTGGTCTGTTTGTTTATTCTTGTGCCACATTGGCTTAACTACTAAAGCCTGAAGTCTGGTCACATAAGTCCTTTAACTTTGTTCTCTTAAAATATACTAGATCCTTTATATTTCCATATAAATTTTAGAATTACCTTGTAGATTTCCCCTAACAATCTTTTGGGATTTTGTTGTCATCGTGTTGAATGTATAATCAACTTGGGAAGAAATGACTTCTTAAAAATCTTGACTTTGCTGAGCCATGAACATGGACTATTTCTGTATTTATTTAACTCCCTCTTAATTTATTTTAGCAAAATTTATAGGTTTATGTACCAATGTACCTTTGAGAAAGATTTCTAAAAGTCAAAAAGCAAATACCTATGTTTTTGCTGGATATTTCTATAGTCTCTTCTGTAAAAGTTATACATTGCATCCTCTTCAGCAATGTATGGGGGTGTCTATTTCCCCAAAGCCCCACCAATAATTTGTTTTCAAAATTCTGGATTTTTATCATTCTCAGAGGCAAGAAATAGTATGTCGGTGAAGTTTCTATTTGCATCTCCCTATTGAGTGAGGTTGAACAGCAAAGGACATTTGAATTTTTTTCAGTTAATTCTTTGTATCTCCATTCTTTTTTTCTAACCCTAATATCTTTATTCTTTTTAGAAGCTCTTCATATATTAGAGATAATAACTTTGTATTATATATTGCATTTTTCCCCAGGTTGTCATTAGCATTTTACTTTGTTTCTGGCGTTTTGAGTTTTTACCTATAAAATAATTTTTTAAATACTAAATTTTAGAAAACTTATCTTCCTCTGAGCAACTGAGATATTTTCCAGTTAGAACAGTGAGAATCATGTAACTAATTTCTTTTATGTTTTGCCTTGACAGCAAAACTTTTTCCTGACTAACCTGCATAACTACATAAATCTCTTTCCTTGCAAATCTGAAATGTCACCTTGTTTTATCTTATTTTTCTATTTATACTTATTTAGGTCTATATTCTTGTTTAGTATTTCAGTTTTTCAACTTTATGGCAGCATTTCCTATAAGCCATGACAGATTATTTGTTAAATAAATATGGGTGTCACTAAAGAAAAGATTCTTCCAGTCACTTGTATGCAACTTTAGGGGGCTGGTGGGAGTATAATGGAGGTTGTAGTGGAATGAATAGGTATCTGAAAGCCTGGCGCCATCCTTCCTTTGCCCCATTCCTGGGTAAGTGGCTCAGACACCCATAAACATTTGAATTTCTTCATTTATAAAATGAATGGTTTAACTATGTCACAGTGTTAAGAAACTTTCTCAAGTGAAAATTATGTACTGCTTAACTATCCTAATATATAAGATGATCTGGTTTGTTGTAAAATACAGGAGCTGTCATAAGTTCCAGAACTTTATAAGAGTCAATATACAGAAATTAATCTCCTTCAAAGTGAATAAAAAGAAATCTATCATCCCATTATTCATCCCTCAGACAGATGAGGACTGTATTTTAAATCCTATCATTGTATGATGGCTAATAAGTGCAGAGCTAAAACCATGGATGATTCACTTATGTATCAGTTGGTGCTTCCAGATTTATAACTTTATCAAACTGGAAAAACAAAACTCTTGTTCAATTTATGAGGGTCTTCCAAAACTGCACATAGTTATTTAAGCAAAGTTTATCTTACAATAAAGGCTATGACAATTCATTGTGAGGTACAGCATATATACAAATGTAAAGTTATTTTTCCCTCTAATTTTAGAGTGTGGAGGTACACTGACTGGTACTTACGGTTCAATTAAGTCTCCAGGATACCCTGGAAATTACCCCCCAGGAAGAGATTGTGTTTGGAGCATTATAACCAATCCTGGCCTCCTGATAACATTTACTTTTGGGACCTTGCGTCTGGAGCACCATGATGATTGCAGCAAAGATTATCTTGAGGTAAGCAATTGTATTTAGATAGAACTTATGATATGATTAGACTTCAGAGACGTATGGTTTTGGTGATGCCCCTGGATGACCAAAATTTATTAGCACTAGTTGGATCTATTCCACAGTAGGTAGCCAATGTCTAATTCTTGCTAACTCCCTATTCTTAATTGTGACAGCTTGTTGCCTCTTCTGGGTTCCATTTAAATCTGGGAAACACGTTGCCTTGTCTTCCATGATTTCCTGGAAGCCCAGTCTCCTAACATGAGAATAGCAGAACTCAGTAATGGCTATCTTCTCCAATGCAGATACAAATCTCAGTTGTCTGTGGTAAACTGACAAATGTTTCACAAGTTGACTATAGTGTTCCATGAAGAAAACTAACTTAATAGCTGTTGTGTTGAAATGGATTGCTAAAGGGTGAGCCTTACTGGAAAGTATTGATAACTGTTATTGGACAGACAGAAGTCAACTAGTGCTCTTCCTGCTTAAATTAAATCAAATTATGGAAGAGGATAAAAGCTGTTAACATGAAAATGTCATAAGCAGATAGGTATATGAAAAATGTTACTCTCTATTTGTAGTAAGATCATTGAGAAGATTGAATTATGTTGTTCCTTTCTTGTTTACACCATAAATTTCAGTGACTCTTGTACTAGTGATCAAAGACAATATACTTTTCCAAGTCCATTAGAGAAGAATGGAGTGCTGTGGAATTATTCATACAGGATAGAAAGGTGTGGCTGTCATGTTGATCTTCACAAGTTAAAGTCATTAGTAATATAGCAGTTGTAATGGATTTGAAATCTTTGGGAATAACTGGAAGATCTACCTCTCCCTGGAAAATTTCAGCAAAATAATCCTTCAAATGTTAACATTAAAGTGAATTTTCTTGAAATTAATTTCAATAAATCTGATCAAATTGAAATTCTAATTTTTTCATTCCTATATATTAATTCCTGAATTTCCATATACCATAGAATGTATCAATTCTGATAATACTGAAAGCCTTTAATTTCTCAACAATATTTCAAAGAACTAGTTAAATATAGGAATAAAGTAATGCTGGCCTATAACTTGGCTGCCAATAGAAAAAGCAATTTGAGTGGACAAAATTGGCCATAATATTATGTTATTTTGTTTATTGATGCCTTGGTATTTTATGTGGTACAGGATTTACAGTTATAACAGAATCATAGAGAGGTTGACATGATTAAGAAATTAAAAACCAACTATTAAAAAGGGTGCCTAACGTCATAACATCCATACTGCAGTACTTAATTCCTGTTAAAGTTGCACTTTTTACATTTGTTAAACTGTCTTTATGTTGCATCTAATCTGACTTCACTTCCTTCTCCACCTCATCCTCCTGAATAGCTTGATCAAGTTGTGATTCAGTTGACTTTGCTGTCTTTACTTTTTCTGTTTTTCTTTGCACATATTCATTTTCTTTCTTCTAGATCACTAGGAATTTATCATTTCAAAACAAACACCTTGGGGGGAGAATGTAGGAAGGAAAACATGGAGAAAAATTCATGAGAAAAAAGAAAGAGAAATATCTAGTCTTGGAATTAAAATTTAGACAGCAGATGAGGCATTGGAGATGAGGGGAGAATAAGACAGGCCCTCATGGACTGAGCCACGTGTTAGTATACATGTGGTTACACTAACTTCAGGTTAGTCTGGCTCCTAAGCCATTACTTTCAAATGACCGTTAATGTACAAAATGACTGGGTTTGTTATTGAGCTTACTGATTCATTCTTTTGTTTTAGATTCGAGATGGTCCTTTGCATCAGGACCCTGTTCTTGGGAAATTCTGTACCACTCTTTCTGTCCCACCACTCCCGACTACAGGCCCCTTTGCCAGAGTTCATTTCCATTCTGACAATCAGATTAACGACCAAGGTTTCTATATCACCTACTTAACTTCACCTTGTAAGTAACCTGATAATTGGGAGCTTAATATGAATGTGAAGGACAGTGCTACGTATAGCTGTTTTATATTTAAGTGTGAGGCTGCACATTAACTGTAATGGCTGACTTACTTTGACTAATAACATGTTTTTATAAATATTTCTGTCATAGCTCCAGGTTTTTTCTTTATCTTTCCAATGTTCTATTATTAATACTGCAGTACCCCTCTATCCGTAAATTATGGGATCTACATTGTGTTAGATATGTGTGAGGCACTTAAATAATTCAAACATCAGTTCCCTAGCTGTTATTTGATATTTTGTTGTGGAGTTGCTATTCATGAGAGAAATGTAGTCTGTCTTGAGCTATGTCAGATTTTATAGCTGTTATGCCTTTAACTTGCATTGATACCTTCAAACAAACCAGCACATCAACCAAAAACAATGAAATGCTCTGATTTTTGTTGTACGCTGTTGAGGATTTTGCTTTTAACATACCTCATTATGCCCCGATGAAAATTCACAGGAAATACACCTTTTAAGTCTCAAAATCAGGAAAAATAACATGAAAATCTTTTCATTGGTCCCTTTTTCCCTTTACTTTGGCTTCAGGCTGAATCTGCCACTGGCCTTCTGTGGTATGTGTAGTCCATATCTGTTTTCTGTTCATATCAAATTTCCTCTGACCACATTCTGCTCTTCTGTCCTCATTATTCCTTTAATGTGTTTCATTTTTATAGTTGTATATTTTATTTTGCTATATGTATTTTATAGACTGCCTCAAATCTTTTTGCAATGAAGGAGAGCATAAATGTATTTAAAAAGCAATTTATAGAAGAGAATGTTTGCTTAAAAGTTAGGTTAGATCGCTCATCTTTACATCTAGTTCTTTAGGTGCTACTTGAAAGTTCTACAAACACATATCAAACTGAAAATATTGTAATTAGAGGCATAAGCCTTTACAGGTTAAATTAAAGTGGGTATGCGATTGCATGTGTATGTGTATAAAAATTGTATCTCATGTCAGCTAGAAAACTGGCCATCCATATGACCATTTCCTTCTCTTCCCTGTTCTGTTAGCGGATCTGTATTGTGGAGGGACCTATACAGACCCAGAAGGTCTTCTTTCTCCTGACTTGTCTGGACCTTTCACTCACAACAGACAATGCATCTATATTATAGAGCAGCCCCTGGGAGAACAAATACACGTCAATTTCACCCACGTGGAGCTGGAAGGCCAGAGTGGCTGTTCTCAGAGTTACATTGAGGTAACTTTCACTATTCATGGGCCTTAGGTGATGGTTAACAGCATTTTTGTATTATGTAGAACAGTGCTCTTCAAACGGCGGTTGGCCCAGCAGCATTCAGATCCCCTGGATGATCTGGATGTTAGCAGTGCAGTGCTGTGCCATATTCTAAGCCTATTAACTGGAACCTGCAAAGGCAGGCGCAACAATCTGTGTTTTAACAGTCCTCCTTGGCTGATTCTGATGAAGGCTGGCATCTTAGAACAACTGTTCTAGAGAATGTGAAAGATTTACTAAAAATGTATCTATAGATGATGAAACAGGAGATTGGTAATGGAATAGCAAAGCACAAAAACGGAAGCTGAGACTAGAAATACATAATAATGCAAATGTACAAGCTATTAAACTGAGCCCTAAAAACTGAGGTGAATGCAAATACCTGTGATGAATAGGATTCACCACTTGGATCCAGATTTCAGAGACTGTCCCAGACAATTGTATGTATGAGGGAACTCAACTCAGAGATGTAAACGATTTGCTCAGGTGAGCTAGCTAGTCAGTGACAGAATGTTAAGTTAAAGCATTGCATTGCTCTTGTTTTAGAGTTTAGGGTTTTTTCCCCTTCACTAGTTCTGCTTGCTTTCCTCCAGAAAATTCCAACTCTGATTTAAGTATGTGTAATGGTTGCGATAAGAAGAATAATTAAAACAAAAAGTCAGTTTTTACTTGCCTGGCCTGTTATATATTTTGCTTCATTATTGGTCAATCCACAAATTGAAGTGTTGAGGATGAGAAACAAAACACTTTCTGTTGGGCACAGCCATTTTATATAAACTCAGAGAAGTGTTGTCAATTCTGTTTGCTCATGTAAGTTAGAATGATTTTTTTTCCGGAAAGGACCTATGTAACCTCTTATTCGCTTCCCTATTTCATATGTAGAGACAGGAAACAGAATTTAGCTTAAGATCTGGATGTGTCTGAAGACTGAAGGACATTGAATATGACACTACAGCAGTATTTTTTTATTAAAGTATAATTGAAATACAACATTATATCAGTTTCAGTATACAACATAATGATTCAACATTTGATCAACATTGTGAAATGATCACATTAAGTCTGCCATCTGTCACCGTACAAAGTTACATATTTTTTTCTTGTGTTGAAAACTTCTTAGATTTATTTTCTTAGCAAGTTTTGGATTTACATTAAAATATTGACTATTATTCCCAATCTGCACGTTATTACATTTCCATGACTTTTTTATAGCAGCAAGTTTGTACCTGTTAATCCTATTTACCCACTTTGACCCTCCCCTCTGGCATTACCAATCTGTTCTCTGTATTTATGCAGTTAGTTTTGTGTTATTTATTAATTTGTTTTGTTTTTTAGATTCCAGATTAAGTGAATCATATGGTTATTTGTCTTTTTCTGACTAATTTCAATTAGCATAATACTTTTGAGATCCATCCATTTGTCACAAATGGCAAAATTTCATTCTTTTTCTATAGCTAAGTTGTAGTCCATTGTATGTGCATAGATATAGATGCCATCTGGTGTGTGTGTGTGTGTGTGCGTATATATATAATTATATGTATCTTCTTTACCCATTTTCTTCTTTATGTGTCATCCATCAGTGGATACTTAGATTGCTTCTGTATCTTAGCTATTTTAAATAATGCTAAAGTGAAAGTAGGGGTGCTTATATGTTTTCAAATTAGTGTTTTTATTTTCTTTGGATAAATACCCAGAAGTGGAACTCCTGGATCTCCAGTGTTTCTGTTTTTACTTTTTTGAGGAACCTCCATACTATTTTCCAAAGTGGCTTTACCAATTTACACTCTCACAAACACTGCCTGAAAGTGCGCTTGTGTCCACACCCTTGGAAACCCTTGTTGTTTTTGATCTTTTTGATACTAGCCATTCTGCCTGCCTCCCTCCAGCAGGTTGGAGCAAGAGCAGAAATGGCAGCCTGGAGCCTGTGCTAGGATGCCGCAAAGGGTGCCTCTGCATCTCTGCCTCAGAGAGGGTCCACCTGGCTCCTGCCCTTGAGCAGATGCCTTTAAGATTAGCAGTAAACTTTCTTCACATGTGGTCTAGGTGCTTTTCGCCCTGCCGCCTTGCCAGTGTCGGGCCCCGAGGTGGGTGAATCTGCCGGAGCCCTGCTAGAGCGGAGCCTCCATTCCCTGCAGCCCTGGGTCTCCGGGGGCCACCGGGTGGTTCTCAGACACATGTGTTTCAGGGGCTTATCTTCCCCATGCAGGTTCTAATGGCTGGGGCACCTGAGATGGGCAAAACCCCTTGCTCTCCCTTGTTCTGTTTCTGAGCCTCCTCCCAACTGTGGTTGCTGCACTAGAGGTGGGCTTTAGGGGGACCCGTGTCTCTGCCTCTCCTACCGTTTCCATTTGGCCCTTTTTTCCTTCACTGTGGAGGAGCTTGTACAGGTAGTTTGCAGGCCTTTTTCAGAGAGAATTTTTCCATAGGGAGTTGTAAATTTGTTGTGTCAGTGGTGAGTTCAGGATCTTCCTACCTCACTATCTCTGGATCCAGCAGTATTTTTTTAATCCAGAGATTTTTTTTTATCTCATGTGGTGAAGTAAATGTGCGTGTTCATTCAGTTTATGTTTTCTAAAGTATCAGATAAAATACTTTAAAATTTTACACTATGGGGCAATTCTAGATATTTTTATGTAAATAATTAAATTTCCAACTTTTTTTTACTTTGAGAATGAAAATATCTCACACTTAATGCTTACTTTGCACTAGGTGCTATTCTAAGACCTTCAAATATTGTATAAATTAAGTAGGCAATGCTTACTATCTTCTCACTGCCTGTTGGTTATGGTACCTGCTTTATATGAGTTAATTAATTGAATCTTCACAATAAGCAATATTATTCCTATTTTGATATTAGGAAACTGAGGCCTAGGGAAGTTGTTACTTGCCATGGTTACCTGACTGGGGAGTGGTAGAGCTGGGACTTGAATTTAGTATTTACAGTTGTACTCTGGTAAGAACAGAACTGCAATAGTGTAGCTATGCCTACAAAAGGTGGTTCACTTTCCCTAGGGAGGAAGCTTTCATGAACATCCCTATTTATACCTGGCTCCATGGTCACTGGACTATAATGTGGAACCAAGCACAATGCTTTTTCAGGCAAAAATGTAACTCTAATTTTCAGGGAAATTTCAAATGCTTTTCTATTAGGTTCTTTATTATTGGCCCTAATGGCTCTAAGGAGACATCTAAGCATCTGGAATGGAGTATCTTCTTTGGCTTTGCAATACACTCTAACTGAATTTCAATAAGGAGTTACATGAACTTCTCTGAATTGTTCTCGAAAGTTATCAGGAAAAAGAATCATAAAACTAGCATTGAGAGATTTAACATTGTAAAACATAATGGCAGAATGCTTTGTAGCCAGAATGGGATTGGAGTTAACTCATATAAATTCTTATTTTAGTCATTTGATGACTGTGTAACTTTGGGCAATTTTTTATCTGGATGCTTTGGTTCCTTCTTCCATAAGATGTTCTACCTATTCGTCCAAACTTTGTGAGGATAAATCAAGGCAATGCATAATAAAAGAAGTTTGGAAAATGAAACATGATACAAATGCAAGTTTTTCCCAGGCCAGATTTCCATCTCCTGCATTAAACTTACTTTGGAGACAGTTCATGAGACACTTTCATGGCTGGCCATAAAAGTATCAATAATCTGATGTGCATGCACACCCATGTAGTCTTGACCAAGTTTCTCTCAAGGATTGTTGATGGAAAAAATAAAATAACTCTTTTTGTAGAAGGATAGGTCATGTCTAATGATTGGAAGAGTTAAATAGAGTTTTATATACCTCTCTCAACTAAATTTTACTTCTACAAACCCACATTGCCCATGGGTGATGTGATGTGGCTGGTAATGAATATTCCAATGAATATGGAAAGAACAGATCAACTGTTAATCTATTTTTTTATTAAGGTATCATTGATATATACTCTTATGAAGGTTTCACAAGGAAAACAATGTGGTTATTACATTCACCCTTATTATCGAAATCCCCCATACTCCATTGCAGTCATTGTCCATCAATGTAGTAAGATGCCACAGAGTCCCTGTTTGTCTTCTCTGAGCTACACTGTCTTCCCCATGACCCCCCACACACCGTAATACCCCACAATCCCCTTCTCCCTCCCTCCCCACCCCTCCCCTTTGGTAACCACTAGTCCCTTCTTGGAGTCTGTGAGTCTGCTGCTGTTTTGTTCCTTCAGTTTTGCTTTGTTGTTATACTCCACAAATGAGGGAAATCATTTGATACTTGTCTTTCTCTGCCTGGCTTATTTCACTGAGCATAATACCTTCTAGCTCCATCCATGTTGTTGCAAATGGTAGGATTTGTTTCTTTCTTATGGCTGAATAGTATTCCATTGTATATATGTATCACATCTTCTTTATCCATTCATCTACTGTTGGACACTTAGGTTGTTTCCATATCTTGGTTATTGTAAATAGTGCTGCAATAAACATAGGGGTGCATCTGTCTTTTTGAATCTGAGAAGTTGTTTTTTTTTTTGGGTAAATTCCTAGGAGTGGAATTTCTGGGTCAAATGGTCTTTCTATTTTTAGTTTTTTGAGAAACCTCCATATTGCTTTCCACAGTGGTTGAACTAGCTTACATTCCCACCAGCAGTGTAGGAGGGTTCCCCTTTCTCCACATCCTCACCAGCTTTTGTTGTTCCTAGTCCTTTCTATGTTGGCTGTTCTAACTGGTGTGAGGTGATATCTTGTTGTGGTTTTAATTCACATTTCCCTGATAATTAGTGATGTGGAGCATCTTTTCATGTGCCTGTTGGCCCTCTGAATTTCTTCTTTGGAGAAGTGTCTGTTCAGATCCTCTGCCCATTTTTTAATAGGGTCGTTTGCTTTTTGTGTGTTTAGGCATGTGAGTTTTTATATATTTTGGATGTTAACCCCCTGTTGGATATGTCCTTTACAAATATATTCTCTCATACTGTAGGATGCCT